ATTATAATTAAAATTATAATTACTATAATTAAAGTTCCATTATTTCCATTGAAAAAAAATTTCATAATTTTAATAGATTCATTTCTTAACCGGGTAAGAAGTTTTTTTTCAGTGGAAATAATGGAACTATGCAATTTAATGTTGCAGGCACTGTTCATGCTGGTATGGGATGTACTTCACTCAATAAAACACTGGCTTGTCTTAATGTCCCAACAATATCCGCGGATTTATTTAAACGCTACTAAAGAGAAGTTGGCTCAGCACGATAACAATCTGCTAAAGATAGTTGTAAAAAAGCAGCTGAAGAGGAACGAAAGCTTGGGATGGAAAATCTCGATCAGCTTTGCCATGAATTGTAAGATTTCACCGTGATTCTCAAAAATTTCAAAATTTTTTCAAACTTCGAATTTTCTTGATTTTTCAGCAGTTTTGTTATCGATATTTTTTTATCGACTTTCGATTTTTTACACATTTTTTTAATGCATTCTTCTACGTTTAATATATACCAATTGTTTTTTACTTTTTTTAAAAATCGGAATGCAATAAACTGTATACAATTGGAGCTCTTCAAATGGAAGAAAAATGAACTGAAAGATAGACAATGAATAATGAATAATTGAAAAAAAAATGTTTTTCAAATATATTTTTTTTAATACATAAAAAATGATTATCCACCATATTTCAATCACAATTATCCTCTTTTCCTGTCGGTTTGCTGCCCTTCTCTGTCCCTTTTCAGACCTCCAGCGATTGTCAAGGAAATTTATCCTTTTAGAACAAACCTCAAAAGTTCTGGCTCTTCTGAGAAAATCAATAACTTTGATGCCCACCTCGGTAATATTGTCAATATCATCGTATCATACGATATGGGCTGAAGCACGAGGAGTGCAGGCCGAAAGTATGATAGCTTCAATGGCTATGGGAGAATTATCGGTTTTTGACTGGCAAGATACTCGATTTCCCGACACATAATCGCAAATGTAAATTGTATGATAATGGTGTACCAAAAGATCAACATGATTGCCGTAAAAATTTTGAGGAGAGTGCTAAGGCAGTGGAGGCTGAGGTCTTCAAGTTCGTGTGCTTATTGGTGATGATGATGCCTCCACGATACCCAGTCTACGTCAGGAGACTAATTTGAAGATGTTCAAGTTGTCCGACCGAAATCACTTGGGTAAGCACTTCATCTATGATTTATACAATTTATCCAAACATTATAAAGAATTGCCACAAAAAAAGACAATCCCGCATCTAACAAGATGCTTTACGTATGATGTAGCCGAAAATAAAGGAAATGCATCCAGTCTAGCTGTTGCCCTGAGAGCCATCCGTGAAAATCTTTTCGGGAACCATGTGTATTGTCGACGAAGGTGCTCTCAGGTCAATTCGACTCGAAAAACAAGGCAAACAATACTTTTGCACGAGAATGAATTGCACGAGGCATTAGGCACTTTACTCAATAAGTATGTGAATAATGCTGCCGCATTTTCGGTGGCTGCTTCAAGTCAAGCAAACGAAAGCGTCAATGGCATGATAGTTCACAAAGCTCCGAAGAATAAATGCTATAGTCGGAGTGAATCCGCAGATTTTCGACTAGCAAGCACCGTGTGCACCAAGAACGATGGAGAAATGCATTTAATGGACGTAACTAACAGATCCCCAAATGAAAAAAACTGGTGTTTTTGTAAAAAAAACTGCGCCAAGTAAGTTTCGCTTAATTGATTAGGTAAAAAACTCGTGTTTTGTAAAAATACGGCATTCCTAGCAATTTCAAAAAACTCGAAAAATGTAAAAGAAGACGCCAAGAAAAGTGATACGACTCGACTGAAAAGATTCAATAATGGAAATAAAAAAATCGGTAGAGGCAGGACCAACGTACTAGGCGCGGTTTTATTTACAGGATCATGCTAAAATTAAATTTGATTAATAATTAAAAGTGACCGAAGATAATCTTTGGCTCTAACTCTAGTTCTTGAAAAAAACCGCGCCAAGTAAGTTCGTCCTGCCTCTATTGATTTTTTTATTGTCACTATTGAATCCTTTCAATCGACCCGGATCACTTTTCTAGGCGTTTTCATTTACATTTTCCGAGTTTTTTGAAATTTTGAGGAACGCCATATTTTGGCAAAACACGAGTTTATCATAGAATCAATTGAGCGAAAGTTTAACTTGGCGCAATTTTTTTACAAAAATACCAGTTGTTGTCATTTCGGGAGATTTCACGGATTTATGCAATATAAGTAAAGAATTATTTTTACGTTTTCCAAATTTTAGTCACCCACATCATGTTTCCAGTCCATTTGAAGTATATTATTTGCATGATTTTTTTACATAATACACAATGTGTTTCAACAATTTGAAAAACTCCTTTCTACATTTATGTATGTATTAGACCGAACCAATTTTTTTAAATGTGATAATCTCGAAATTCATATTTCCATTAACCACCAAAATTGACTTCAGTCCCATGTGTAATTATACACATACATAGGTCAAGAACTGCATATAATTTTCTAACAAACGCATAGCAAATATTCGTTATCATAAAATAAACAATTATAATTAGGGAATTAAATAAAAAACATAAAATCCGAGGGAAGCAATAAAACACTCGCCTGTTACAATTCAACGGCTCCAATGCACTGATGGCAACATTTTAACGCCAAATTTGGCCCAGGTTAGATTGGATCGAACTGCTACCAATTAGTGGCTTCACTATAACCGAAAGATAATAGAAATCGGGAAATTATTGAAATGAGCCGATTGCCATGGGCGTATTTTTGCCAATTTCAAGCAAAAAGAGGGGAAACTTATATCAATGAAAAGTTTGAGGGCGATGTATATAATGTAACTATGTACAGATTTCATGTAACTTGTGGCATTTATATTTTATGAATTGAATACGATTAGAAGGCAATGGAAGGGGTAATTGTGTCGAGTATTGATACACCGTAGCTCTCGGCCTCGTATCTCGATTAAATGTGTCACCTGGTAAACATACGGAAATCTTCTGCCAGAAAAAGGATAAATTTCGATTTCAGAGAGCAGAACGTGGGAAGACCAAAGCTGCAAAAATTCGTAGGAATTTATTAGCACAGAAACGCAATGAGCTACGAAAGAAGAACGAAAAAAAGGAAGATTCAAATATGAATCGAACTGTGGATTAATAATTGATACTGATGAGTGTAACAATTTAGTGCTGGATGAAAACTGCTTCGAGGAACTCCAAACTGCTCAGCGTGTTCTTTTAACTCAGAAGATTTTGCTTTGGTATATTTCGAACTGGAGACATCTGCGCTGGAAAGGGATGCTGAGATTTTGCAAATTGCAGCAAAATCAAATAATTCTTCCTTTAACATCTATGTCACTCCCACAAAAGAATTTAATCCACAAGCATCGAAAGTTACTGGCCTGACAGAGAGGAATGGCGACTTGTATTTTAATGATAATATTGTCATATCTAGTCCATTGCAGGAGGCACTGATTGTCTTTAATGAATTTCTTAGGCTATTTGAAAAACCTTGTGTTTTGATTGCTCACAATGCGCCCTACGATACTGGTCATTTGATTGGAACCATAATCGGCAAGTCATTAATTGCTAATTTTAGGAAAGTCGTTGGTTTCTGTGATTCTTTAGCAATTGTAAAAAATTCCTACCTGAAAGAAAAGAAAAAATACTTCGAATGTACTATCCATTGTAACCTGAAAATTTCAAAATATCCCGCGCCTGATGCACAACACGCTGTTGCCTTATGAATCGCGTCAGACTCCACCTCTCGAGTGACTCCGCCCATTTCATCGACAAATTCAAATTTTATTAGATAATAGCTCTGAAACCAGCTGCTAAATCCATTCCATTTTTTTGTAGCGTGTATTAGCACTCCTTCTATAACATATTTTGTTTTATCGAAATCTTTCGAATGGTTTATTTTTAAATAAATTCCAGACGGTGAAAATGCCTTTGAATCAATGAAAAATGGAATTAATTTCAAAAATTTATATCTTGAGTTACAGCTGCCAGATCGTGTTGAAATTGGGGTCACTAAAATCTAATTTTTTAATCTACTCATCATAAAAATTTGAATAAAAACTGTCGAAAAATGAATCTAGTCGACACAACCGGAAGCACTGTCATCAACTGCAGTGACCTTCTCAAAGAATCCGGTCTCTCCATAACCTTAATTTAAATCGGAATTTAAAAAGGACCAACTCATATCCGGCAGAAAGCCACAAAAATTTCTGCGCGTGCCGAACTTCTGTTGACGAAACCCCTAATTTCAATGTCAAAATAAAAGAATCAATCAAACTCGAAGCATAATCCCAACTGAAAATGCACAAGATCGCTCCACGTCGTAACATCATGTCACCCTTTCCGGGACTCATTAAATTTACAATTCTGATACCCCTTAAACTGAGAACAAACAGTTACAATCCAACGTCGAAAACCCATCGCATCCGATCCAGAAGTCAGTAATTCCATCTCCTCGGACGTGGAAATTCAAGTACCATTCGAGAAATTATTCACATCTCATCGTATTTCACTGCGGTGATGTTCTCGAGGTAACGGATGTGGGAGGGAGGAGCAAATTATTTGTTGGGTGATCATGCTTGTGACAGGTGCGTTGGACACATTAATCTAATTCGGCACGAAGAGCGCGTTGTGTTCGTACTACTTAAAAGTTGAAATTATCTTCTTCAAAATTATGAAGTGTACGGATACCAATTTTTTTAGAAACTTATGAAAACTAAAATTCATACTTTTCAATAGTGTTTAGAAAACTATCGGCATACGTAATCACAGTAGTTTCCTGACTTTTCACAACCAAGGGAGTTGCTCTGAGAAAAGTTTTCTGTTCATATAGTTCTAAGAAATAGTTGTGTAACTCACGCGAAGTAATTCAGTTTTAAAGGGTATATTCCTCGAATTCGAAGAACCGACACCAGGTTTTATTAACACTATTAAAATTGCCAAGTAATTCAATATTCATCTTGGTACTCACTATAGAACTTCCTTCTTTGTAAAATACGTCAAGTCCTGTAAGAGGAAACCAACAACAAATCAATGTTTTTTTCTTTCATGATAGAGGCTCACAAGATTATAAGATATGGATTCATAGATTTATTGAAATCGATTTCGACGTTGACTATCAATATATTTGTCTTGTCGTTCCATTCGACACTATTGTAGTGATCAATTCATATATATGGCGTACTCCATGCCAAAGCGACCATGTTTGAACCCGATACCGTTCGATCTGACCAAAAGGTTTCCACTATTTTCTATCGCATAAGAACCGTTTGTCGGAATTCTATCGGATTCTTTCACCCAACCCAAAAACGTTATGAATTGAAAAAAACACGACTCTTTTATTTTGAAATAACCATAACTTTTTCAAGCCTTGACAGAAATACTTTCCTTCTGAATTTCTGCTTGTTATTTTTGCCTCCATTTTTCAGACAAAAATACGAAAAAGAATTGAGATGATAAACTGAAAATTTTGCCTTTTTCGTGAAAAATCCTGATTTTTTCGAAGTTCCCTGCTTTTTATCCTTTTTTTTTTTAAACAAATTCAACTAATTCAGCAATTAGTTGAATACAATCCCTAAGTGTGCGGATTTTTTGTATTTGACTGAAAAAAAAATTTCAAATTTTCAACATCGAAAGATTTTTTTTTCATAATGTTTATATATACAATAACATGAATGCAATTAAACGATTTTACAGCATTATGTCAACAATTTATGGTCTTAATCTTCATGGTCAATAAATGAGGCATTCCATGTTAACTCGTGATGTTTCAACCCTCCTGGTCTTTTTATCTGTGGGAAAGTTCATCCATCCATTCACCACATAAAGATCATGCTCCGTATTTTTTATTTTGATTTTTAATGACGCGCTTAGTCCCAATCAATATCATCAATGATATCATATATCATATGATCTAATATCAATTTATGGTTTCCAAGCTAAGAAACACTTATATATGAAAAATTTTTTCAAACTCAAATGCACTCGGAAATTGTGAAATATTTGAACGCCATAGAAGAAACCAATAAATAATTTATGGCATTATTGTTTTAATCCTTGAATGTCAACAGTAACAGACATCAACCTTAGTTACCATAATCGTAAACCATAAATCGATAATACAAGACTGTAAAATTGTAGAATTGCATTTATTTTATTGTATAAATAAAGTTTACTTTAAAAAAATTACTTTTGAAAATTATTTTTTTTTGAAACATAGAAAAAAAAATTGAAAAAAATGTCGACCCAGTACGGTATTGACAAGAATAATCGCAGAATTGGTACAATTCGTCTTTCAGAAAAGAAATTGTAAACTGCGGAAAAATAACGGTTTTTCTCGGAAAGGGCGAAAATTTAATTGGGTTTATTATTTTAATTTTTTTTTTGTATTTTTTACCGAAGAATCAATTCAAAAACCAAAATTTTCATTAAAAAAAAGGTACCAAACAGTTAAGTTTCACAAAAGTTATGACTATGTGAAATTGAGAAAGAAAATGTTCTTTAATGCATAACTTTCATCAGGCTGGGTAGAAATTCTTGGAAAAATTCCGAGAAATATTTCTCGTCGAGTAAGAAGGAATAGAAGTCTTTCTACCAGCTCGAAAGGAGTCGATTTAAAAAAAGTGGTACATCTGGCATGGAATACTCTATAATAGAGAGTATGCAACGACCAGATTAGTCTGAAGCATCTACCAAATCGTTTTTATGAATGAACAACCAAATTTCTCTAGTAACTTTTTCAGGTCTGATTCATTTCGACATGAATACTCCAGAAATTTTGCAAAATACCTGGTAATCCTGAAGTTCTTCATCAGTGAATTGGCTCCGGCCAGTCCCCATTTTCTCCAAACAATTTATTCTCGATTACCAAAATAGTCAACCACAATGGAATGGCGTAGAAAAGCCAGGAATTGCAATACAGTTTCTGTCAATTTCAATTTGCAATAATTCCAATCAATTCAAACGGCCAATTGGAAGAGCTTGTTTGGGGACATAAAAGAATAGGAATGGAAAATATGATCTTTATCATGTAGTTTATGTAAATGACTCCGGATTTTACGGCAGAGATTATAAAGGAGATTGCTATAGGTTATGGAAAGGCTTTAACATGAAAATGTACTAGAGGCGGGGATCACGTCAGTGCCTGTACCTGCGAGTAAGACAGTAAGCGAGCCCGAGTATGTCGATAATTTGAGAAGCCCGTGAGTATGAAAAAAGCAGAGTGGAATACTTTTAAGGACCGTGACCGGAGATTATACTGGAAATTGCTAGGGCTTACAGCTGCAACAGGAAAATTTCATAGCGGCGGTAACGGAACTAAACTGAAGCCCATACCTGTAAGTACGATAGAGCGCGTGCCGGCTCGTGAGTAAGGTAGAGTGCAACCGTGAGAGCGTCGATAATTTTAGAGATTACGAGTGTTAGTAATATAGAGCGCGAGCTACTAAACGTTAATGAAAATGTCAATAAGTTATGGAAATAACGAATATGTCCGAAGCCGAACGAAAATATCGGAAATAATTCGGAGTGGGAGGAATCGGGAAATAATTGTTATTTAATTAAAAATGATTTCACGTTCTGAATGGAGCGTGTGTGCTGGTTTTTTCTCTCCCTCTCTGTAACTGATTAGTTTGCATTAATTAAATCAGAAAAACTTTCGCAAATTTATCCTCAAATCATATGGAATCGCCGGAAATATCGAGATTTATTATTGCCGCGGAACATTTTTTTTGCAACTTAATGTTGTCTGTTGTTTATTGATAAACATGCCTACAAAAACAAAAAATTCGTCTCGCAAATCTATTCTCCAAGGATTCAGAATCATCTAGAACTTCGAGAATGATTCTTCTCTTTGAATAACTTTTTGCAATCTAATGATGTGGATCGTTTACTTAAGAATTTAAAAAATGGTGAAAAATTGTTCCGCAAAAATTTATTTAAACGATTCAGAATCGCCTAAAACGTCGAGATTTATGGTCCCGTAGGAGCATTTTTTTGCACCTTAATGATGCTTATTTTTTATTTATGAAATTATTTGAAAAATTATTTAAAAATCGTCCTATAAAAATATATATTGGAACGATGCTAGATTGTCTATAACTTGGAGATTGATTGTTCCTTCGCCATGTTTTTTCTTAATCTAATGATGTTTATTGTTCATTTTTCAATTCTTTTAATTGAAAACGTCGTCTCGCAAGAATAGCAACATTACCACAAACTCCGGTTCATGTGTAAGAAAATTCAAACAACGGCAATTGATCATGCATTTGTGGCTAATTCATTATTCAAGTTCGTAACTCGTAATTCGATTGTAGCATTTGAAAAATTGGTAAATTTGAGAATTATAATCGAAAGGGACAGATATGAGTCATGCACTTAAGAATTGTACACAATTATCTCCGTGCACAGATGTAAAAATCAAATGTAATATGCACATTTGATTTTGAAACGTGGACATCGCATTTGCTCACGAAATTATGCTCGATTAAATTGTAGACAGTGTTATTATTTAGTCTGCATATAAGATGGAATGTCTACAAAAAAAAAGAATACTCGGATTAAAAATTGACGTTTTGCGAAAAATTCGTGCACATGAAAATAATTTCAAATAAAAAGTTGTGCCCTTTTTTTTTTATTGCACAACGAAAATACATTTCATTTGTACACTTGTGAGACTATGACGTGCACAAAAATAATACGCGTTGTAATTTATGTTCACGTAATTACTCATGCGCATAAACTTTACCAGACGCATAACTTCAAATTCCCCCTCTTGTCATATTTTATTCACATGTTCAGGATGTTAATTTCATCGAAGTAACATTTTTCAACCTCGAAATGAATTTGCTGAAGCTGAAATGAATAATTAAAGTCGCAAGTTTTTAGATTTATTGACTTATTTCATTTATAATGAGGCGTTGGATGACTTTTACCCGGAGGTGAAACTCACATTATGTTTATTAACTGATACTAACTTTGTATCTAGTCTCCCTAACTTCCTTCTTGACTAGCTCTGCGTCCAGCTCACGGAGGATGTGCTCATCCGTAGGAGGTTGGTGTAGGTTTGGATAGAATTCTTTCCAATTAACCATCCACCTAATTAATCGATAAAATAATGGTATATTGCTAAAATGCTTAAAATCCACGATGATGGTTTAATTTGATCGGTATACTACGTCACTAATTAATAAAATCAAGACTTGGAACTTCAACTCGTCTTGTCTCGTCGAGGTCCGCTCTGATCAGCTCCCGATCGGACTCTATCGCTACAGTGTTCCCAACTTCGTCAAACCACTCTCCAAATCTCCACTTGCTGAGCAAAGCAGTCTTACGGCTAATTTCCATTGTTATATTCTTGGTAAAACTGAGGCCATGCCAGTCGAACAGCTCATTATACCTAGAACCGGACTCCTATGTGACCGTGGAACTGCTGATGCCATGTCCGAATGACAGAAAAGAGTGATCAGCGCTTTCATCCACCATTCGCGTAAATACTAATCATATCCCATCATTAAGATCCGACGTAGTGCTTAATCTCAATACGTCTTAATGAAAAGATTATTTTTTCAATCGTTTGTAGGTCGCAGATGGATTTAGGAAGCCATCGAACGGATACTCAGAAGACTGTCGAAATATTTTGTGATTCGCCGCAGTGAGTATTTTCAAATTTCCGTAATTTTAAGAGAATAAATGTAATTATTGACCCCTTGTTTCACTCATTTCAATCACTCCAGCGATTTAAGCGTCTGATAAGCTATTTTAAAAGAGCCTTAGGCTACACACCACAAATTCATCATTTCGTATCTTTATACTTGTTCTCCCCCTTTTTTCTGTCCTGTTTACCACATTTTTTATCCTATTTGATAATCAGCATTTACAGGTAGCTATCATGGCACAGGATCATTAGAAGAAAAAGGGGTTTTTACTAAGCAAATTTACTTTGCATAAGTAAATTTCCACATTTTTGCCAAATGATTGGAAGTAGTTTGATGTAATTGTCCATCAGTATATTTCCTGCTTGACTTTATTTATGCTGGAAATATGATATTCTGTGACATTATATTTTGAAATCAACCGAAAATGCCCACTAACTTCGCCCTTCCTCCCTATAGCCTCCTCGCCGATATACAAAAGCAGAGAAATCGGCACCTAAAAAGGTTGCCGGGAATCAGCTATTTTTTCTTACTCAAGGAATTGTAACTTAAACTTAATGAAAAGTGCCAAAACGTAACACTCAACTGGATCTGAACCTTATTCACGGGCGGAGTTAAGGAAGAGCTAACGGATGCCTGTTTCGCTCAGTATGCTAAGCTGTGGAGCGAGCTGGGTGGATTTGGGAAAAGGGCTGAAATGTCGTTCGACAAAATAATTACACTTCAGAACAGTCCTCAAAATCCATTGAATTGTATTAGTAACGAAAGCGGTAAGGAAAGTCCACCGGACTCCCCTGAAAATGGGTTAATTCATTATTGTTTCGACCAAACAAGACAACACAATCTTCCCAATTAACCGAGGTTAACGATATGCATTGTACCCGCCGAGAGAGTAAATAATTTTCCAAGAGGAAGAAAAAAACCCCGTTAGATTTTCCGAGCCTCTAGGCATATTTGAAATTTTCTCCATGATATAATAGTAAAACCATTCAACAAGAATAATAAAATATAACTAAACGATAACAATGGGATCATCATTAATGCTTCAAATGATTAACTCTGTGATGACTTACGCGGAGAAAATTCTCGGACAAGCATAGAGAGTGCAATGCGAAAGAGGAAAATATATGGTGCGAGAGAGACAGCGCGACCCGCAATGCCCGCGACGTACGGTAAAGTATTCACTGATGGATTTTAATTAATGACGCCTGAGCGGCTAATCCAATCGAGTTCGGACGAACTCCAGCACTGAGGAGAATAACTCGCGAACGGTATCCTAAAATTATGGATTTCCATCGCCTGTGGAAACCGAGAAAACTCCGCTTTTTCGAAACGGTATTTTTCCAATGCCGTTGGGCCGGAGTTCTTGCTGTAGGTATTCACCGCTTGCCTCGGGATTTTCACGCAAATTTCCAGCCGAATGCCAACAAAACCTCCATGGGGACGGCCCCATGGGACCAATACGTCCCTCGCACGCGATCAGCCGTGGTTTTCAGCTAAAACAGAGAGTTTTCATTAACCCACGACGGATAATAATTTTAATTATCCCTCTCTGCGGCGCGATTAAGGAACCGACGCGACTTCCCGATTGAGTAACTTATCCCAGAAACATTTTTTACTATGAACTCCCCTAAAATTTCCCTAATTCCTCTCAAAACTCCCCCTTAACCCTTCAGGTACGGGGTCCATCCTACGGAAACTTTCCGGGCGGCCGCGAGCCTCACGGCGTTCTGATTCCTTTTTTTATTAAACAATAGCTTGTGAACGATTGAGTGAAAAATCTCGAAATAAAATCGAGGGTTGCCTCAATTTTCCTCCTAAACTCGATGAATTTTTTTCTTTTTGACGACACTCATTTCACAACTTACGTCAAGTTTTTCTTAGAAAGATCGCTTTTGTGACTATTTTCTCAAGTCCCCCGCACTTCGACTGATTGAAAAAATTATTCAAATAGGTTTAAAAAATACAAAAAAAAATCGGTAAATACTTTGATCAATTCTTAAATTATCAAAGCAATTTCGAATCGATATATCCCATAGTTAATTAATGACGAGTCATGAAATAAACTATATGTATTTAAAAAACGGCTGTGTCAAGATTGATGATTAATGTCTCAAAAATATTAACAAAAAAGAGGAATCATGGAACACAAAGAATCAATCTCATTCAATGGACCATATTTGCAAAATATTTTTATTTAGTTATTGTGGTTATCGAGACGTAACCTACACGCTTGACGTCAGAGCTAGAGGCGTACATCAGGGCCGTTCCACTACGCGTACGGATCACATTCATAAACATCCATTCTTTATTCAAATGAATCTTATACTTACGATGAAATTCGCCACTGTCGATAAATTAACTAATCTCATTTTTATTATAATTATATGTTACGAAAATAATTCATTTAAATCACAATTGTCGACTAGCATTATGAACGATTGGTATTGGCAAACAAAATTATTGGACCCGCGCAAAAATAAACGAAAGAAATTGGTCGAATAGCATTATTG